TCCACTCTTTCTCTTGAGAGAGAGATGAAATGAAGATTGGGTATCCTCATCCGAGTGGGTAAAGCACTAGTTTCTATCTCTATCATAGGCTTCACACTTTGAGAGATGTTACTTCAAGTTCTTTTAAAGAGGTGTGGGACAAAGACAACAAGCATGAAGAGCAAGGCTCAACAACTCATTTTTTGTAAAGAACTTTTTGAAATATGCCAATTGTACATGACCTGACATAACTTAGTCACCATTCTGAATTCACCGTTCTAATCTTCCATTTTGAGGATCAGTCATGGTGGACAATTTTCATGAATTCTGGTTGTTTTAATTTGAAGGAAGACATCTTTTGATGTGTGTGTTCCTCTTATATATTAACCTTTAGTATCATCATAGGAGATTCAACTTGTATGAGTTCATCATTCCTTTTGGTTGAGGACAAACTAGAGACATAAGCTCCAGAATATACAACACGTGTAAATAGCTAGTAGTTGTTTTGATGCATACATGGTCCTTGATCCAAACTTCTATGATTCTCCTTCTCACCACTATCATTGGGTGAAATATAGGTACTTCTAATTTGCCAATCAAAGAGTACATTTTGATGTTAAATCTGGGAACTCTACATTATGAGAGTTTGATGAGCCAATGGTGTTTTTTTGTTAGCTTCCCATTTTGACTAATGTGGTTTCTACTGTTGAAGATGTTAGGCTTGTTAATCTGCCTTTTGCCAATTGCTGGGTTCTTTTTGTTTTCTACAGTGTCCATATTCCTTGTTCTAAAAATATGCAAACCTTCTGTGTTTCCGTGTAGGGGTACACACTTTACTTTTATCTGGATCGCAGTTATCTTGGTTTTCAGTCTTCGGTCTCTTTGTTCGGCTCTAAGTAATCTGAGTAGGGGGAGGTGCTTGCAAAAGACACTCCGACGCTCAAGTAAATGATCAACGCAATAAATGCAGTAGTTCGAAGTTAGTTACGTACCTCATTGGGTGCTTATTTATAGTGGTTCTTGTTGGGCTGTGATTAGGAACTAGGCCCCGGAAAATTAGGAGACTAAAACGGCACATTACGTAAATTAATCTCTCCTTAATTGCCTGGTTTAGCTTCGTCTCGCTATGTGTTCGGACCCAACTAGCCATCTGGCCGACTTGGCCGATCACACCCTAGCCGAGACGACCCGAGCGGTCGTGCTCGGCGTGGTCATTCTGATCGGCAAAGTCGTGTGTTCGGTTTGGTCGGTTACCCTCCGGTATACCTTCCTTCTTTTTTTATTCTCATTCTGGTATGCGTATGTAGAGCTAAATATTTTATACATGTAAATATTTATGTTACTTCTTTCAAGATTTTTTCTTACGTTGTTAAGTTGCTTAACTTAGAGAGTTAAGTTCGGATACCAATTGAAGTAAATAAAATAACACAAAAGTAGGTTGAATTGTGTTCTTAAACATTTTGCATTACTTGCAAATATTTTTATAGATGTTGAAGAAATATTTATGTGAGTAAATAAATTTGTTGTATTTTATATTTTTATGCATAATTTTCATGCAAATTATTGTGTAATTAATTTTATATTTGCAAGAAACTTATATTCGCATGAAATATTTCCTGTGCTTTTCAATTTGTAGAAGAATTTGCAAGTAAATTAGTAAAAATTTTCGCAAGAAACTTACATACAACATTTACTTGAAATTTATTAAAATAATATTAAATATTTTCTACGAAATTAAATTCATAAGGAAAATTGCAGGAAGTGAAACAAATTCTTACAAAATTTCTTGCAATTTTTTGTTCATAAATATTTATTTTATAATTAATGAAGTGGCAGAAGTAAAACATTTACAAAAAGTTTCTGTGGATTTTTTCTTCTTCAGAAGATCCACATGAAAATGACATATTTATATTAAAAGTGCCACAACAGATCAATTTCTATTATTTTCTTCGATCTACCATTTTATCTAACAAAAAAAAAATTAATTCCTATTATTTTACTATAATTATATTTAAACCATTGATAAATACGATGCCAAATCGTAAAAAAGATATGTCAAATTCTTAAAAGGTAAATTCAACGGAAGTTGTGTCTTTCAAAGAGTATCCGTACCTTTTTTTAAAATTAAAAAAAAAAAAGAGTTAATAAATAATAGGTTTAAATATATTTTTAGTCCCTCAAATTTAAGATAAATTTGTTTTTGGTCCCTCAAATTTAAAATTGTTGTTTTTGGTCCCTGTAATTTTCAAAAATCTTGTTTTAGTCCTTTAGATCACCAATAACATATTTGAAAGTGATTAATTAAGACAGTTATGCAATATCAACCGGATTTAATGTGATATTTTCACTAATAGGGACACCAATAGATAGATTTTATGCAATAATGTTTAGTAAATTTCTTAATAAAATTTGAATATAAGAATTAAAATAAGATTTTTTAAAATTACATGAACTAAAAATAACAATTTTAAATTTGAGGGACCAAAAACAGATTTATCCTAAATTTGAGTAACTAAAAACATATTTAAGCCTAAATAATAAATACTTAAGAACACGAAATTATTAATGACTTGTTTAGGATTTTATTAATTTTTATTACTAAATGATCTCTAATTAGATTACTTTTGTTTTTCATTTTATATTTACATTTGCATTAGTTTCTTATTTAATATTATTTCCGTTTATATATATATGATTTAATTATCTAATTCATTAAAATAAAAAAAAATTAATTTAGTTGATAACAATAAATTCATCCTATTATAATACATTTTCTTTTAAATCACTCTTATGTTACTATTCTTTCTTAATTAATATTTATATATCTTTTAACCGATTAATATACATATTTTATATTATTTATCTTTTCTATTTAATACTTATATTTTTTTTAACTAATTAAAGTGTATACTCTTTAAAATATTTATAATTAATAAATTTTATCAAATTAACATAATAACATGCTTTAATTAGAAGTTTTTTTTAATTTAAAATTAATTAATATATGAGATAATATAAAGTAAGTTAATTTTATATATATAAATTAGCAATTTTTTTAGTTGGATTTTATAAATAAGAACGGAAGTAGTATTGGATTTAAAAAAAAAAAAAGTTGAAATAAATCTTGATGAATAAGATTTTTACTATTACGAAATTTAAAACGCTATTTAAATTAAATTCCAACTTATCTATGATATCATTTTAATGTACGATGCTAAATTTTATTATTTTAATATGAAAATGTACGGTGTCCTCAATATATTAATAAAAGGTAACGAAGCAATCACCGTATTAGGAGTGAATTGTGTGAAGAATTTTTTTTTAAAAGAAAAATTACAAAAGTCTCCCAGTAATTTTGTTAAGAAAATTTAAGTATTAACTAGACAAAATTATTTGATTTAGGCAAGCTTATGGAAGTGATTGTCTCCGTCTTCCGATTAAGGAGCCTTTAGGCGTGTCCTTTCCATGCGAGTTTCATCCCAGGTTTTCAAGTAAAACAAAATAATATATATTTAATTAGTCAAACCAAATTAGTCAGCAATCTTATCACGGAAACAAAACTAAACTATAGGAGTCACAACATAAGTAAAAATGTTTTTTTTTTCATAAATTAAAACTAATTTAAATGAGTTAGAAATAAATTTTTTGAAATATTAATAAAAGAGTGTTTCTATATAATAATTGATGTTTAAGTTAATTTCAACTTACCGAAAATCTTATTTTATTTTTTTTCTTTCTATTTTACTTTCCTAAAGTGTTAATTTCTGAAACAGATTAATCAACCAGGCCCAATATTCGAAAAGATAACAATCATATTATTCGCAACTAAATTTCCAAAACATAAAAAAAAAAAAAAAAACAATAATTTTGTGGTATCGTCAAACACAGTATGCCCACCCATGACATCACACTCAACATGCAAGAAATCTCTCCTACATCTTTCAAACAACTTAGTATTTACAAGAAACGTGTAAATACTACTAGAGGAGGGTCATTATTCACATTTAGAATACATATGATTATTTCGAAGAAAGTAAAAGATTACACACGTGACACGACCACTGATCCAACATATAGAATTACTTTATAAAGAGGCTTAGGTTAGGAGCTAACTGAATGGAGCCAGTTTAAGTTAACATCCACTTGAGGCACCTCTATCAGTAGATTAGGAAGCATAGCTTCAAACCCTTCCCATGAAGCAGCTGTTTCTTCATCGCATATCACTACCTTCAAATTCACAAGATTGATCACTGAGGATGGCAATTCACACCTAGCACAACTTGTCATGTAGAGATTTCTTAGATTAAACAGTTTTCCGAAGTCCTCAGGTAAATTGGAAAGGCTAATACAATTTGAGATGTCAAGATGCCTTAGATTTGAAAGCCCTCCGATAGAATCTGGCATCCCTTCCAAACCGGTACAAGAATTGAGCCTTAGGAGTTCCAAATTCACCAACTTATTTCCAATTTCTTGGGGCAGTTTCAAGAGCTTGTGGCAATTAGTAACACTGAGTTTCTTCAGTGGGGTAATGTCACACACCCCATTAGGCAACCCCACCATGTCTTTGCAATAGTCAATGCTTAAATCTACTAGATTTGGAAATGCATCTGAAAATAGGATGATACCATTTTCATGACTCATGGTGCACATGTAGAGGGATAGTTTTTTAAGATTCTTCAATGTGACAAATGAATGAACAGAAATCCTCTCTAGTCTAATTCTTTTCAGGTTGGATAAAGAGCCAAGTAGCTCAAAATTGGTCAGCTCAGAAGGATGGAAATTGTAATTTGTGACAATCAGAACTTTGAGTTTGCTCATATTCTCAATGAACTCTGGAAAGGTGTACTGATTAGTTCGAAGATTTAAAATCAGAACCTTGGCTTGAGCTGGTTGCATGTGTGACGACCAATATGAATTGCAAGTTTCATCTGCACCAGCAACTCATGATGTCAATTGTTGAAGAGGAACATATGACTTATCATAGAATCTTTCTTATTAGTACTTTTATTTTGCACGTACACGTAAATATTTATAAACATGTTTGAATGCAAGAAGTGTTTTTTAAAGTTTTTTACTAAAAAAAGGTTTTATTTTCAGTAGAAAAAAAAAAAAAAAAACTTGTAAACTTGTATTAAAAAGTGCTCTTAATTTTAGAGAAAGGATTACGAATAACTAACCAATTGACATGGACAATGTACGAGCAGGGACCTGAAGGGGTTTCTGTTTAACACAATATCTGAAAATAATGGACAACATGCGGGTCATAATGCCTTGTTGCTTCTCGTCATGCCACCATTCACTTTTATTTTCATTTGTATCAATAATCAGTCTTTTTCTCTCTTCAATTGGTTCCTGGGTGCTTTGGTGAATTGCTAGTTCTCTTAGAAGATCATGAAGGACGATGAAGTGGTTATTGTAGTAGTAATTATCCGTGTCACTTGTATTTTTCCTAGTAAATTAGCAGAAATTTCTTTAGGGATAAAAACTCTTGCACAATATTAAAAGTACTTGGTCGTAAGAGATAGATTACTTACAAATCTCAACTTTAATTTTGTCATCAGAGCAATCTTATATAATCAATTGCCAAATTCCGTAATGCAAGTTTAAATTAAGTTAAAGATAAATGGCCATAGCCAATTGCTCCTCACATCTATAATTTTTTTTTTTATAATATATAGTTGATGTTATATATATTATGCTCAAGTGGGTGAGAAGAAAATATCAACACTACCTTGCTATTATGACATTAACCAGATTCATGGAGTCTAATTTGTTGATGATGGCCATTGCTTCTATGCCATCATTGTCTACTCCATACAACTCAGCCCATATATCAATGAGAGCAGTGACGGGAATTCTTTGGTCTTCAGGAAATAACCCTAAGTCCATGAAGCACTCTTTGATGACTGTATTATCTTCCAAGACATCTAACATCTTTTGAAGGTAAGTTAGCAATTCAGTGTTGGAATCAAGTAAAGAATGACCTTGTGACAATTCCTCCACCATCTTTTGCCACAATTCATAAGGTTGATGGCGGAGTGACCTACCAATCACTTTAATGGCAAGCGGTAATCCCTTGCAATTTCTCACAACCTGCATTCAGTGCAAGTAAATATAACTTATGACTTTGGTGGCACAAGGTGCAAGTGTTATACCAGATTGGTTATCACTTGGTGGGGTCAAAACACAGTTTTTCATGCATTTTGTTTTTGTTAGTTCAATGATAATTTATCTAGAGGGAAAACTAATATAGAGTAAAAGACACTATCATTTTCTTAGGTTATGTGAAACTACATTGACACCTTACTATTTCATCGTTTACAATAATATCCTTCATAATTAAGTTATAGTGTTATATATTTCAAATAATTAAGGAGATTAATATAATGTTTAAGAGATATTAATGTAATATATTTTTAAATAATTAAAAAATATTATTATAAAAATAAAAGAAGTAAATTTCACGATACTTCAAAAAGTTTAAGTACTCAAATTGATATAATATGCATGGTTTCTCAAATTATTTCAAAACATTGGTATTAATTCCTTTAAAAAAAATTATATAATTTCAATTCCTAGTTACATTTATAAAAATAATCAGACTAAAATTTATGTATTTCTATTAAAACGTAGAAAGTAAAAGTATATTAAATTGTCATAGAGACCGAAAGTTAACATTTCAAAATATAACAATTTCAAAATATTTTAAGGATTATATTTTATCCTTTATTTTTTTTTTCCTATACAAAATTCATAATGGTCTCGTACGTGCAATTGTGATGCAGGTCAAATGAATGCACGGCCGGCCCAAAAATGAATGCATAGTAAAAAAAACAAAATTATTAATAATTAATATTAGTCACTCCAAAAAATTTAATAAATAGGTTAAAATATTTTTTTTAGTTTTTATAATTTCACTAACTTTACATTTTAGTTTTTATATTTTAAAATAAATCTTTTCAATTCTTATATTTACAATTTATTTTAATTTATTTAACATAATGTCATATGAATGATGTACATAACTTATTAAATTAATGCAACGTATTTGATTTTATGAATAATAATAAATCATGTATTTATTATTAGCATTTTAACTGCTCATTTAGAATGCATTCAATCATAATAAGAATTAATTATCTACAAAATTATTTAAATTTTTCATTTTTTTCCTTCCAAACCAATAAGTGATGCACCATTGTCCATAAAATCAAATACATCATCATATCACATGAATTTACTTATATCATTCATACGAAAACAAAATTAAAAAAATTAATAGTAAAAGCTAAAAAAAATTAGAAAAATATAAATATAAAATATTTATTTTAAACTATAGTGAATAAAAAGTACAATCTCTAAAATTATCGAGATTAAAAAAAATATTTTTACCAAAATAGTGTTAATATATAGATAATGTGAAAAGTGTTTTCTTCACCATCTTATTATAACACATCTCTCTTTTAATTAATAATAATAGCTTTATTCTTTATTATTCTATGTGTTCTATCAAAATGCATATCTTCATATAGTTAAACCTAGCTATATGAATCAATGAGTGCATTCTGCATAAAATAACATGAATTACTTTATACGTCAGAAAGTAAGAAGAAGAAGCACCTTTTGGACTACATCTTCGTCAGGTGTATTTAATCTGTTGCCGTCCAAGAGAGCGTAGTGCCGGAAAAGGGTGATTGCATCTTCGTGAAGCAGTGGTTTTAAGACACACGACGAGGTGCCAAATGTAGGAAATGCAAACCTTGAAGTAACCAAAATTTTATAATCTGATAAACAATGGAATTTAAATTTCTCCACCACGGCTTCTGAGCCAGCCCAAACATCGTCCAAAACCACCAACATTGGGCTTCCCTCAAATTTCATTAGCACATGTTCCAATTCATTAATTGCAGCTTCATCGCTTTCAAACTCAGGCACTTGATATTCTAATTGTTCAAATAATCTTTCTACGATATTCTTCAACTTTGGCCATTTTGAGAAGCTCACAAAACATATATTTTCCTTAAACTTACCTGGTGAAACCAATAAGATGTGTGAGCCTAGAGAATTTTGATGTGTTATATATACCTTTTGCAGAAGGCAGATATACAATGTATTTAAGTCTGAATAGATTGTTTTGTAAACATTTTTAGGAAAAAGTAGAAAAAGAAAAAGATTTTTTTATATATATAAAGTCACTTATACATACGTTAAAATAAGTTTTTATAGAAATTGAATAAAAGAGTTTCTACAAATAATTTGTGCATAAATTAATTTTAACTTTAAAAAATCAAATTAAAGCATTTTTATTATAAAAAAAAATGAAAACATATGCAAGTATCTAAAAAATGAGCACTAAACAACAAAGAATATAACTAATACAGGTCAGGAGAAAATTAATGTTTCATTAATCTATTAGAGTAGCATTTGCAAAAGTAGAAAAATGCCCGTGATATAGTCTTTTGATCTAAAGGCACATATAAGTACTTTTCTTAACAAGCAAGTTAACATCATTGAAGTTATCGACTTCTCACCCACAAAAAAAATAATAATAATAATAATAATAATAAAAAAATCGATTGCTTAGCAATTGTTACTTAAAGATTTAGAGCACCAAAAATAATGATATCAAGAAACTTGTTGAAAACGAGTCAAATTACTCAAATATACTTAGAGTATATGTAGATACGGATTTAAAAAAGATTTTCAAGACTCCTTTGTTAAAAATAATTTTTATTTTCAATTAAAAAATATTCAATTTTTTTAAAAAATTTATATCCAACAAACCGTTTATATGTGAAATATCTTGTATGTGAGATGAACATTTTATAATTATACCATTGAAATGGAGAGCTATTTCACAACAACTAAATATATTTTTAGCAGCAGTAGAAAAATGTTATTAAATTATAAATAAATGTTGTTAACATATTTTTGTGATATTTTATTAAATATATAAGAAACAATTTATGTTAATAAAGACTTTTAATAATATTTTTATATATTGACAATATTTTTAAAAATATTATAAAGTAGTATTTTACATTTTAATAATATTGTTATATTTTTGTAAACTTTATAATTAAAATGATAATTAGTATCAATATAGATTGTATTGTCGCTCATATTTTATGATTTTTTATATTTTATAATTTTTATGTGTAGGTCCTTTAATGTTAAAGATAACTAATTTTGTTTTTGACAAGAGAATGTTAAGTTGGTTATATCATTAAATCTATATCACATATCAAATTTAATTCATTCATCTTAAGTTAATACTATAATTATATATGTATATTCTTTATATGTTACTTTTTATATTTGATATATGACTTTGATTTTAAAAAATAATTAGATATTAAAAAAGTATATTATTTATATATTATTCTTTTACTTGGTATGAGACTTAATTTCAGAAAATATATACCATCTGAAGTTTTTGCAAATTTTCGAATAAACTTTCTTTACCTTTAATTTTGTAACTATAAGAAATCATCTACATGAAGAACTAGCTAGTTTCCTAATTTATAATTATGATAGTATGGAGAACCAAAGAGGACTTACCCTTGACTTGTTCATCCCAACAGAGCTTGGTGGCCAAAGTGGTTTTCCCCGATCCTCCAAAACCAGTTAACAGAATGATGGACACACCTTCTTTGAGAAGCTCCATCTTCAACTTGCTCAATGTTACATCCAACCCAACAATGAATTCTGGCTTTTCAGGAACACCAAAAGGACTCTTCATTCCAACGGAAACTAGTTGTGCTGTCTCTTCCATGAATAACCAAACCAACCTTTCACGTCCTTTATCTTTAAACAAGGAACAAGTTATGAATATGGCAGAGAAAATCGACGTTGCTCTGCATTAAACACCGTTGGTTTCAATTTTATAATCGATCTTTATAAACATGGAGTTAGTGCTCTAAAATTTTTGGCCATTACATTACTTCTGAATAATTCCTGTTGCTAACATTTTAATTTTCCACAACAGCGTATATATTGATATTTCAATCTCTAACTGACTGAGTTAGGAACAAATTAAATCTTTAAGATGTTAACTTGGTAATGAAATCTTTAAAGAATTAACATAAGAAAATTTTAATTTTTTAAGGAATTTGTGAATTTAGTATTCAATTTTTTTTTTTTGGAATTTTAATATAATATTGTAATGGTGCATGTTAGTTATTTCGGAAGATCAAGGTTTTTTTTTTATATATAATATTCATTGCCAACAACAATTATTTTATTTTATTATATAAGAAAAAATAGATGAAAATTTTAAAATTAATTCAAAAAGAAATCATGTTAGTAAAATGTGTTAGTCGATCAAGATAAGTGATTTACGTCGGTTAATTTATTATAATATATGCTGCTATACAATATTTAAATTTAAATGATAATAATAATAATAATAATAATAATAATAATAATAATAATAGACTAAATTTAAGTACCTCTTAGCATGCATCAAGTGTTGTATAGATTAAATTTAAGTAACAGTATCAAAAGAAGTATAAGAAACATATAGAAAACAAAATGTGAGACAATTACTGTAGAAAAAGACATCGTTGAGAAAGAGAATAAATTAACAAAAACTTTTACTCATAAAAATGGAGACTCAAACTTAAAATACAAAATAGATACTATTTTTTAAAATTATAATTTTCAATATACTTATATTTAATTTCTCTCCATTCACAAATTTTTCTATGTATAGGGAAATCATTTTCTCTATTTTTTCCATAATAAGTTGATTATAGATATATTGAAAAGACAGTTTAAAGGATTACAGATAGACTTCCTAATGAAAGAAAAGAAAAACTTTTCAATTCGTACTAAAAATAAATTGTAAAGTATTTATTATTCCAGCTTTTAATAATGCTCAAATATAAGATAGTTTTTTGGAAATTACGACACCAATGTATTATGTAACTATATTGAGAATGAAGTTAGGAAAATATTTTAGTAAAAGATCGGGCAATTATGTACCATTAAGCTATACCTTTGAAATAACGATCGATGATACCTATGAAATTGAGTTTTTCTCTTGTACTACTCCTTCCTAATGAGAACTGCAACGGGTCATGAAAGCAATTGAATTTTGAAGTTATTAAAGAAGATAATAAAAGTCTAAGTTCTTGTAGGGGCTATTTGAAAGAATGAAACTTAGAGCACAAAAGAAGGTATATTTATAGCATCCAAAACCAATTATTATAGCTTCTGGTTCTTTGGTACGTTTTTTCGTGTGCAATTACTTCCCAATTTACCATGAGACTATCCTAATTCCTGTTTCCGCGTAGTTAGTACGTTCTGTTCTAGTTAACAATATTAATAATGTTAAATTGAGTATATATTTATTATTTGTAGAAATTATAATACCATCAACATGGTTTAAATTTAAATCCTATTATATTACTTTGACATGTCACTGCTAGGCCAATGTTAGTAATTTAAATTTGAATATACTAAAAATAAAAGTTTGTAAATAGAAAAAGAAAAGTACCAAAAAAATAAGTTTTTTATAAATTAAAAATTTATGTATAAATTAAAATAAGATTTTAAAAAATTAATATAAAAAATTTTAATAGATTAATTTATGAATTAATTTAGTTTAATTTTTGAATTTCTTTTATATTTTCTTCATCCATAAATATTTAATGAGAAATTTATTTAAACATTTTCATGTAATTTATTCATATATTTTGTGTGTACGTGTGAAAGTTCATAGTCCTTACATAAAGCCAATCTAAAGTTCTAAAGCTATATAAAATAGTATAATTATAAAGTACAAGCTACGTACCTTGCACTCACCATATTTCAACTTTTACTCAATGTTAATATAGAGCATCATTTTGGTTGTAGCAAAGAAGAGGTGTTCTAAAAAGGTAGAAAATAGAAAGAAAGAAAAAAAAATCTTTTTCAAGGAGAAAAAAATAGGAAACAACACCCTTTAAAGAGTCATGGACTAAACCACATAGAAAGGCTATAGAGGCAACCCTAAGATTTTTTTTTTTCATTAAAAAACAAAATATGCACCAAAAAGCATACATTCTTCACCATTATCCAAGCTAACACATTTTAGTATTGAAGTAATAATTCTCTAATTTCGATTTTTCTTCTTCAGTTTTTCCCCATTTTTTTAAGTGTTCATGAATCGGGTTTGAAGAACCCAATTTCTCAATTTGTTTTCTTTATTATAAGTAATTTTGAGTAAATTTCCTTAAAAGAACTTTTAGAAAAATATTTTAAGAAAAGTAAAATGAGATTTTTTGTAAGTTAATATTAACTTATGCGTAAATTACTTTATAAATTCATAAATAAATAAAAAAGTTATTTTGTAGAAGTATTATTCTATTAATTTCTTCAAAATCTTATTTTTATTTTATGTACAATTTAATTTTATTTTTTGGAAAAACTTATCATGATTTTCCCTTTTATTTTTCTTTTTAGAAATATTACCGGAGAAACTTACTCAAAGAAACTCTCTTTAATGCTTTTCATTATTATATTCGACCATCGGCATTCTAATCCCCTCTTTCTCTTCTTGCATTTTTTGGAAGGTCTGATTTTTTTGGGGATAGTACAAGTAGATTGATAATTCTACAATTTTTTGAAATATTTTTGGCTGTTTTGTACATTATTTCATCCCATATATATGAAACCAACAAATGTCTTTAGTCAAGGTTTTATTGGAACAACCTGTTGAAATGAAACCAAAAAGCAATCGATGGGAATTGAATATAATGCTGAAAAGCATGTCGAGAAATCGGGTTTGGGGACTCCTATTTCTAAACCCTTAAAAATAAACAAATAAAAAATAAAGAAGATAAATTGGAATTAAAAAAGATGAGTTTCCACTTAAATAGTAAAATGTTAGTTTAACCTATTGATAAATGTGTACTGTTTTGGTACGTATTTATTTATTGGCTAAAAACCTATTTTGGTCCCTTATAATAATTGTTTGTTTTAATTTAGTTCCATTTTTATTTTTAGTCTCAATTTAGTTTCTAATAAATTAATTGGTCTCAATTTTGTCCCTAATAAATTAATTGGTTTCAATTTGGGACTTCCGTCCAAATTATTTAAACGGAGTTAACTGTGTGGCCACGTGGATGCCACGTAGATGCATAGGTGGATGCCACGTGGATGCTAATTTTTTTGAAAATACCTAGAACCAGAACGGCCCGTTCTGAAACCAGAACGGGCCGTTCTGATTACACTTTTGGTATGTTAATTTTGCATCCGGAACGGCTCGTTCCTGATGCAAAATTTACACACTAAAAGTGCAACCACCAGAACGGGCCGTTCTGGTTCTAGACTACTAAGCATAAACCATTAATGATTATAGTTCACAGTTGTGAATCATGGAAGGAAAAAGACCCAAGGTACACAAAGCATTTCAAACACTGAATTTGGTAATATTGTTAATGAAAATTGATAACTTTAATTGTTAAACAGTTAGGCTATACAATGTATTATTAAGGACAATGTAATGTATCACTAAAGACAATGGTAGCAGATTTTATTTCATTTCAAACTGGAGTGAACCACTTACTACCAAATTGACACTATACAGTAAAGGATGAAATGACATAGTATTTTTTCTTGAAGTTATTAACGATGTACGCCAACAACAACAACCTGTTCTTGAAGGGATAGAACCTGAAGTAAAGGAAGAGGATACACAGGACTAACATTTCACCACAACCATATGCATGGACAGATCTAAGTTAATCATAGTGGGGGCACTTGCCCCCACTAAAAAATTTTTCATTCTTTTTTTATATATAATATTAATAAATTTAGAGGATACTAACAGAAATTAAGTTATTACTCTATTTATAAGACAATTGTATTTTATAAAAATAAATAATTTTAAAATTTTTACCATAAAAAATATTTTTCAAAATTATTATATTTTTTAATAAAATTAATAAAAACTATTCTATTCTCAGTCTTGGAACGGGCCATTCTGAATCCAGAACGGCCCGTTCTGCAACCATAACGGCCCGTTCTGGTTTCAGAACGGACCATTCTGATGTACTGGTGGTGTGTTAATTTTGCATCTAGAATGGCCCGTTTCAGATGCAAAATTAACACATCAAGAGTGCATCCAGAACGGGCCGTTCTGGTTCTAGGTGTTTTCACAAAATTTGGCGTCCACGTGGTATCTACGTATGCATCTACGTGACATCCACGTGGCCAACAGTTAACTCCGTTTAAATAATTTGGATGGAAGTCCCAAATTGAAACCAATTAACTTATGAGGGACCAAATTGAGACAAAAAATAAAAGTGAGACTAAATTGAAACAAACAATTATTATAAGAGACCAAAATAAATTTTTAGCCATATTTATTTTATAATAAATAAATAAAGTCGAACCTTAAAATCTAATACCATACTCTCTCTCTTCTTTTTTCCGTGGTTGCTTATCTAATACCTTACGCGTTTCTTATGTCATAAGTTTACTTTTTACCAAGACAACAAAGATGAAATAAATAGTAAAAAAAGAGTGACTAATAAAGGGAAATTTCATTTAAAGTGAAGGGTATATTTTTTATTATTATTAATTAAAAATGATATTTTGTTTTTTGTTTTTCATTTAAATTATTAAATTTACTAAAAGCCCCTTTAATAATTGGCGTTTTTCACCTCTGGCTCACCGCCACCAGCATGGACAACAATTCCCCACACCACAAAACGAAAACACCATGTTGAGGGTTTTGCTGAGTTTGTGGTTTTCAGTTTCATTCGTAATCCTTCGATATTCGGAGATCTTAGGTTTAATCCTTGGAGAATTTCTTGTTTTAGATTACGTGGGAGTAGCGTGAGCACTTCTGCAGATTCTAGCATTGCATGTTTAGGTGAGTATGAGAGTTATATATGAAGTATGAACTTTGTTGAGTGTGGATTGCAGTCATATATATATATGCGTTGTTGCCATATATGGTTGTTTGTGGGAACAATAGGAGTTCTGGGGTGGCGAGGTAATGAAGAGGATACC